CTCTGCGGCAGCACTGTGTACTTGTGCTTGTAGTGAGCACATAAAGCCACTTACTTGATGGGGAAGTAAATCATCGACTGTTTGAAACATGTCGGCGTAGAGGAGGTTCTCGGTATGGTGCGTTGGTGTTTCGCGGGTCGTGCCTCTGGTTAATTTACTTCTTAATCGTTTTTTGTTACCAGGCATCTGTTTACGACGTTCCAAACAGACCCTTGCAAAATTTTTATTGCCCCCACAACCACTGCATGTGCGGCCCTTGGCTGGACAGATTCTCCAGTCTTTATACAGGTGACATCACCAACAGGTGGTTTTCAGGCGAGTCCTTGATGAATGAATGAATGAATGAAGGACTTTTTAAAGTGTCAATAGTATTTAGCTTGAAGAAAATTAATTGGGAACACTATTTACGCATTACAATTTACCAAAGCTACGTAAAGTTAAAATTATTTACACTTCAATTCATAATTTATAGAATACATAGATAAATGAATAAGTGAATGAAGTATAAGAACTTATTAGAATAAACTTAGAATTTATCAAATATATCTAAAATGTAAAATTCAAAGCGGCCTAGCGGCATATATCACAGTTTTTACAATTATTTATTAAGAGTGATAGGTCTTTGCTCTTAACGCTGTTTTTAAAACTCATAAAATTAGGATTCTCTCGATCACTCTGTCCCATAGTATTGTAGAGAATGGTTTCCATAGTAAGCATTGTTGGTACAGACTTAGTAGACCTGCTCTGGTTAGTAGCTCGCTGTAGGTCTCAATTTGGATGTAAAGACTGTCCTGGGTGCCTGCTCTTGAATTCTTTCCATTTTCTTATTGGATTATTTGCAAAAGTGCCATACATTATCACAATATGTGAGGTGGGGCAAAATATTAGACTTGTACAGCTGTAACTGTAAAGACCGTGGGATTAAGTTACATAGTCTCAGTAAGACCCCAACCTTACAGCTGGTTTTTTGCAAATATTACTGATGTTCTCGGTCATTTCATTTTATGAGGAATTAAACTCAATGAGAAACAAATCGCAGCACTCAGAGGTATTCACTTAAGTTTTTCGTGAAACAAAGGAGGACCTATCGAGCGCACTCGTCACGCCTTTGCTGATGCGGTGTCTACTTCACCATCCTCCTTTAGCTCTTTAAATAAAATTTTTTCGACCAGTTTCGGCAAGAGTCCTGCCATCCAAACATTTTCCTACCTGCTTTCAAGAAGTAAACTTTCCATTTTTGTTTCTCAAACAACCACTTTCACTCGAAACAGTAGAGGTTGTGTCGGCCATGTTTGTTTACAACTCGCCCGCGGATCTGATCGCGCGCGCCATCGTTTATTTCTTTCGCGAGTAATTTGCTTGCTTGCATCTTGGAATCCATTCTCCGTGCAGTCAGAAAAACCCTTTCGAGCCTCCTTAATCAAATTTTTGTTGGTCAATGTTTTCTGAATAAATTGACGGAGGACAAGCTAACTGGAACAGTTCAGTATTGTGTAACTGGACGTAACATGGGTACACCCTTCTACTACTTAACTGAAATTGAACACAATTTGTTAACATAGCTCATATTTCCTTGGGTATGTATTGCGATTCCTTTTGGCACTTAGTTAATTGGTCTTAGATGTCTGCTTCCCACTTTCAGTAACCATTTTCTTTTTCCAATATGCCCTTATGTACCTGTTGTGTTTCCTTTTTAGGCTGGTGTTATGTAACTCTTCAGAAAATATTTTGTTCTGCTTGGCTTAAATTGTTAGTATGCTGACTTTCTAATAAACTAGAGCTACGCGCACAAGGCACTGTTGATACATAATGTACTTGATTTACATGACCTAAATTAATTGTTGTATGATGCTGTTGCGATAAATGAGCTGGTTCAATAAAGTTGTGTCAGAAAAATTTTCATGGGATTCTACAATATGAATTCTCAGCTTTTGTGACTCAGCAACAGCTTTAACAACGATTGCATCATACCGTTGACCTTGAAGTGACATATAAGCCAAATAGTCATTCCATTAACTGTGGTTATTGCTTTCAAATTCAATGAAATGTGATGGGTTTGTCCTGAGATGATTAATACCATCTTGCCTGATTTGCAAGTGGCGATGTGGATCACCACACTGATGAGAAACAGCTCTGAAGAAACAGTCACCCGCACCACCTACATCAAGGGTTGTCAATCCCAGCTGTTGTAATCGGAAAATAAGCAACATGGTAGAGCTTAATTACAATGTTGTTTGAGTGTTGACACCTTGAAGGGGATCTGGATTTAATTCATCATCACCTGAAGTCAAAAGCTTCACTGTTGACATACAAAATCTTCAAGGATGAGTACTTGATGCTATTTTTTGTGGTTCGCTGAAAAAGCATGAGTTCTAAGTTTTCTTTTATTTGCAGTCAGTTTTATTTGCAAACATAGTAAAAAATCCCTCACATCTGTTTAGATGTATTACATTACAGAACTTACAGTCGGTAACAAGGCTGTACAACCAAGAAGACTTAAAAATAAATTTCCTTATAAAAACCTTTTTGCATTTAGCTTTTCTCTTCTTCGTGGTCCTGAAAACCTTGTTCATCGATATTGTGGATGGCTCTCGGTTTCTACGTGGTTTTACTCTTTTAGCTGTTTTGAAATAACTGTAATTATCACTCCTTTGTGAAGAGAACAAGAAACCCAAAGCCTTTAATTTTGATGAGCGGATGTTTATATTTTCAGGAGCACTACTACTTTTAAAAATTAGTTTTAAAATACTTACTTTTAAAATATGCGACAGCTCTCTCAGACGATTCTTTACTCAAAGATATTCTCAGTTCAACGACAGCAGGTTTGCTTGTTCTGCGAAATGCATTTAATTTGGAAATACAGTTTCTTTAATTGCTCTACAGGCTCTACGGTCCCAAACGGACCTAATAATCATTTTTTGTTTGGAATAATTTATCTGAATTCGACAATGTAGGAAGTGGTCGCCCAATCTTCCGAGCCGGTGACTCGTGTTAAAGCACGCGGCAAATAAAATTTAGAAAAATTATTAATCGAAAAACTGTATATGTAAGCATATCTATAGACATTAAAGGACCATTTACTTAAAAAACTAGAAATTAAAAAAAAGTTGGACTATATTAAAAAGAAAAACCTAAACTATGAAGAACAGGAGTGGCATGCACAACCTTAGACTTGGCATATTTAGCAGAGTTTGGTAAATTATTCTAGTAATGTGAAACCCTACATGAAAATTAATCATGTAAAAACTTAGTATTATATAAAACTTCTTCAAGATTATAACCACTACCCCTTAAATCATATTTTAGTGACTTTTAGTTTAAAAAAATCTGAAATATATAATGGTGCTAAGCCATTTATGGACTTGTAAACTAAAGATAAAGAAACTATATAACGCTTATGCTCTAATAAATGCATTCAGGCTAGATTAAGTGACTCACTATAACTCCTGTTTTGACCAGCATTCAATAGAGCTCTCAGACCATACTCATTTGCTGACTCCATCTTATCTCTCAGACTTACTTATGCTCAAGAAAACAGGGCTACAATATTCAAAATGGGGCAAAACGTATAACTTAAGTAATATGTATTTAGGAACAAGATGGCTGACTGCCGCAATTTTTGCGTAAACGTTTCTTAACATTTCTTTAACATGTTTATTAAAATTTAGGTTGTTATCTAAAGTAACGCCTAGAATTCTTAGCGTCTCCTGAGGCATAATACTTTTACTGTTAAGTTTAAAGTCATTATTGTATTGGGATCTACCCAAAATCATTGCTTGTGTTTTTTTGATGCGCTGACTTGTAGAAAGTTGTCTGACAACCATGTAGCGAGAACATCAATATGCTTGCTTTAGCAGAAACTCGAGAGCAGTGGGGCAATCATCGGAACCATACTGTGCTGCATACAAACGGAGGGCTGATATGAATGCGGAAAAATGCGCTCTTGCAAGTTATTTTAACGTGTTCTCCGAAATCCAAACATTGATCGAATCCAACTCCTAATTTCCTGGCCTGCCCTGGCTTGATTACTTCTTCGCCGACTCCGTATATAGTGAAGGGGTGGTCATGGACGATATTTAGAGCTAATAGCCAAAAGTTCAGTCTTATCTTGATTTAACTTCAGTTTGTTGCGCAGCATCCAGTCACCAATGTCCTTAACACATAGTTCTACTGCCATCTTTGTGCTGGATAGATGATTCGGACAATTGGATGTAAACGACAAGTAGAACTGTATGTCATCTGCATAGAGATGAAACGGTATTAGGTACTGTCACTATGGGTGGATCAGGTACTGTCACTATGGGTGGAAGTGGGTAACGAATGGGTTTTGTAGAGGTGCTGGCATGGTCAGCATTAATGGAATTGTTTGTTGCATCAGCAATAAACTAGTGATAAGCTTGGATGTGAGAACAGTTTGAGAGTAACCGTCTTGGTTGCCTTTTCTGTGACTCAGTCTAAGGCAGAGTAGTTCCATCGAAGCTTACTCTTTTCTTTGTGAGCAAAGAAGGGTCTACTGGGTATTTTACTTTTTCTCGATCAAACAGCCCTACTGATCTCAATCAGGGGATCTCAACCCAGGGAAAGCCGAGTAAAAGCATTAATTACAAAGATGTACCAAGTGGCGTGAAGATGAATTAAGGAATATTAAACACAGAACTGTTAACTTACAATGGCTCACATCTTTCCTTGAACCTTTACAAACGTAAATGCCTTTGAGCCTTAAACATTTTGGTGAAATCATTGAACAGTATAGCAAGCCTCAAGTGAAATTTCAATGCAACCGTTGACATCAGTTATGTTTACTCAAATCTCAAACCAGCCCTGGTTCAGCACAGTGTCTCATTCTTCCATATTCGAACTATAGTTGCAATATACTACATTTGTGTAGCATTTAAACTGCACATTAAAGAGATTTTTTTCTGCTGGTTTCTTGTTGTCTTTCCTTGGTAGTTTGGTACTTGGTGACAACCTAGATACTCATTTGTAATTTTGTCTTGCAGGCTGTCGCAGTGGTCAAAAGAAAGCCTAATGATTTGAAAGTGAAACCATATGTCAGTGGACTTAAACAACAACTGCACTTGAAAGATGGCATTTGGAACAAGAAGGTAAGATATAAACTGATTTTATTGCTTCTTTAAAGGTTTATTTTTCAATGAATAAACAGCGGCAGTATGGGAAGATAAATACACCTTATTCATATAGATGATTTGGGATAAACCAGTACGAGCAAATTTTTCAAAGTCGAACTAAATTACACAAGCCCGTAGGACTCCAAAAATTTACTCTTTTGTCCACTTTTGTCTCATTCAAAACATATCTTATTAACTTAACTTCTTAATGTTTGAAGCCGATTCTGACTGAGACGGAATCGATCAACAGGTGTAAAACTTGAAACTTTCCAAATTACGATTTACCTATACTGTTCTCCTCATGCGATGCAGCTGGCTGCATTCAGGCCACGATATATAACCTAGCATCTGAAACGCAAAAGCTGCCACCTTGAAGACGTTGTCACATCAAGCGTTAGGCGAGAACAGTCTGAAATATTGCTGGAGCCACTGGTGCTGCTATTAACCGAAGTTAAACTCTTTCCTGGGCCTATCGGCTGTTGATATTTGTAGAGTGGCCTTTGGAAAATTTTCCTTGTTCTGTTTGATTTCCTTCGTCATATTTATCCAGTGACTTCTTCTTTTCCTTAGCCAATACTTTAACAATTGAAATTCACTCTAGTTCATCTGCCTTTAACTTCTTGATTATGATGAAAAATAAAAATCAAACTTTACAATTGTAATATTGCAACTGAGAAGAGAAATAAAGACACAGTAACAGGGTTCGACACCTGGCTACCTGCATTACTAGTCACTGGGCTAGTGATTTCTAAAATTTACTAGCCCGAAACACAACTTGGTAGTCCGGATCAATTTCCCTCGAGGTCTACTTCAACCCCAAACACGCAAACCTTCCTCTAAACTTATTGGCAAGGTCTGTTAAAATGTTAAAGAAGGTGTTTTTTTCTTTCATTGTGATAACATAATTTGCTATTTAAGGAAAAAGTTGAGTAGATTTTCGTTTCACATTCACTTGACTGTGCTTTTAATAGAGCTTCAGTTCATGTTTACAATTAGTTTCTACTGCAAGGTCAACACAAATTATTAAAACACTGCTATCAGCATCTCAAAGGCCTCCTTTTCTTGATCTATCAACTTGTCGTCAGTGACCAGTTCATCATCAGAGTAATAGTCTGCTGGATAGATTGCCATCATCATCATCATCTTTGGCAAGAACACAGCCACTGAAAATTACCAATTGGGCGACCGTGTTTCGCAAGAGCATGGGCTGATCTAAGCAATATTTTCATTTGATCGATGGTTTTCTGATTTAGCTTCATTAGCATCTTATGTGCTACGGTAGCTTCAGGCTTCCTTGTGGCATCAAATCGCATCTGATTTTACTTATGGCTGTCAGACCTTGCGTGTGCCTTAATTGCTTCAAGTTGAAAGTTTGTGGTTCCAACACAAAAAGAACTTGGGCGATCATACCTTCTGCAGATAAAGCAAAACATTTTGCCCTCTTTGTTTTCGACATGGTATTCAAGCCATGGAGAGCTTTCTTTCCACGATGGATTAAAAGTTCTCTTTCTCTGATTGTCCTCATAAATCTTACTGCTTTCCTGTTTACTGGTTCTTTCAGTTTCGGCTGTTTTCCCCTTGGTGGCGCCTTGTAATTTGTCAAAAATCGCTCCATCTTTACCATCGCTTCAAGTGCGAGGCGATCGTGTGCAGCGATGTGCCAGGCATCCCAACATTGATAGGGAGAAGACTGGGAAAGACATTGACCGTTAAGTGCAGAGTCTGGATCTAGCGATGTTTACGATCGACAAGAAAGACGAGAAAGACACCAGAAGATGAAAGGTTTATGCCTTCTTTATTGGTGTTATCATTACAATTAAACTTTCTCAGGAAGAGAGTTCCATAATCTGGGTGCCGCCAAAGAGAAACACCTTTGGGAAAAATTTATTAGCTTGATGGATGGTACTTTCAGTAAGTTCTTGAAAGAGGATTCCTGGTTGAAACATAGGGCTCGAGAAGTTCAGTACAGCAGCTGTGGGAGCAAGGAAAATTGCGCGCTTTGAGCAAAATGTCCACTCAGTCGTCTTAGATGTAAAGCCTACACTTGTACGAAGGCTTTGTTTAGTGCTAACCATGCCTCGATAGCCTTCCTGTACAAGATCCAGGAATTGCTAGTGGAGTGTGTTAGAAATGACTTGTCTTGTTCCTCTTGATTAGTAGATCACCTCTACTGAGCTACTGAGTGGCTTATGGACTGTTCAATCGTTAAACGTTTTCTCTTCAGGTATACTTGAAACCTCTCAGAGGCCAGGAAAGCCCTAAAGCTTCCCTCTCTGTCTGAGAATTGTCTGCAATGCCAACATGCCCTTGCCAGGATAGCCCCAAATCCAAATAGAGTACCATCAGCGATAGGGCCAATACCATTTGTATACATTAGGTATCCCATGAACTGTATCTGTGGGACTTTGAACTTCCACTTCTCAAGATTCTGGTTTAATCCTCTTCTTTGCAATCGTTCAAGCAACAGTCATGAATGATTAGACCTATATAGTGGGGCAAGTTCACAAATGAAGACTGTAATGTTCACTTTCCTGTGTGAAGTGATAACTATAAACTTGCAGTTACGCTTAATTATTACTGTGATGTCAAAATTTTGCCAAGGGTTTTACTTTTTTTACTTTTGAGACAGAAAAAGAAGTTTCTAGAGTGTCAGCAGGAGTGGATGTCAAAAGCTTTACCAGTAGATATAGATTTAGGTAGGAATGTTATTAGAAATGGACTAAGAGTTATAATGTTGTGTTTGTTGCTAAAAGAGTTCAAGGCTGTTTGTTTATTTTCAGTTTTGTATCTTTTAATACCCTCTGATAGTTGTGCTTGCCACAGTTTGCTATGACGAAACCCACCTCAAAAAGGAAGTGTTGGTGTAAGCCATATTTTGCTTTTTCTCCGTTGGAAAGAGCTAATCAGCCAGTCATTTACTGTCTTATGCACATTTTTGGACTACTGATTTCGTGGGTACTTAAGAAATTGCTTCAATGACTACAACGTGGTGTAAACAGACTGATGATGTATTAATTTGGCTGAAGGAAAAATTGCTGAGTGGCAGAATCAAAGAGAATTGGAAAAACATTCACCATCACCTTCTATACTTAAAATATATCGTCTGTAGTCGATTCTCCAACACGAATTGGAAACGCGCAGTTTTAATTTAACCCAAGCTCGGATATCTGCTACCCGTTCCATCATTTGCTCAATTATGACAGTTGTTGGCTGGGTAAAAAACAAAACAGAACTTCTCTTCATAACTTTAATCTGTAAGAACCACCTTATGCAGACTGCAAGCATTGTCTTTAGTTTATTGCTTAAGGAATGTTAATTTTTTTTCGTAAGCTCCAAGTATTTTTGTCATTGCTCAGTCATCTCTCTTTTTCTTCTTTGTTCTCGCTTGGTCTCTCCTGGTAATTTGTTTTGCTCAAACAGTAATAAGGCAAAAAAAAAAAAAACAAAACAAAACAAAACAAAACAAAACAAACAAACAGAAACAAATGCTAAATTAAATTTTTTCATTTTCAAGACATAAACGGGGGACTACTGTAGATTCAAATGCTTGCACCAACTGGCCATTTTCCTTCTACGTTGCTTGTGAGGGGTAACTGCATTGTATCTGAATTTTTTTTATCTGTCTAATTTTACTTTCAGATGCAGAAGTTGCACCATTCAGTAAAGAATGCGTTTCCTTAAGCAAATTCCAAACCCATGAAAGATACTTGCACCTAATGAAGAATGGTATGGTGATATATTAACAATCATGACAACATGGTGAAGTGGGACCATTCTCTGACCCTAACATTCGGAGTCTGTTATCTCACTGTGCTATTTTTAGCATTTGCGTAATTTCCCTTTCACGGAAAACATCAATTTTAAACTGTCAGATGTGATGAAAATCAACATATCACCCATTTCGTCTAGTTCTAAGCAATTTGAAATCTGTAAAATATTTCATGATAGCTCACGTGCTTTGTTACATTGAATAAGTTTTGATAGATAAATTGGCTCTTGTCAGTTTGGAGCCCAGGTTCACATTCATTTATTTCAAATGAGTAAAATTTTGCTGTAGACTCCTGAAAGGCTTGGGAAGGAAGCACGTGTGGGCATCAAACCAGATAAACTGTTTGTTGTTTTTGAAAAATATGATGATAAACATTTAAGTGTGCATAACACGAATTTTTTTTGTGCGCATTTTTTTTTAACATATCATCTTATGTGTTCGGAAGCGGACACGGAAATCTCTTTTAAAAGCAGGCACATTATTTGAGTGAAAACGGTAAAACGGTATACTCAGAAAAAATACCAACAACATCGAAAATTGCGACTCAATAAGTAAAAAGCCGAAACTCGCACGCGCGAAAATCGCACGCATAACTTGCCTATGAAGTTTCAAAGCGCGCATGCGCGCGCTAATCGTACCTCACACAATTTCGGTAACTGTCTTCAAAACAACATGTACAAACCAGTTCCAATGGAAGCAAAATTTAAAAGAAATTTAAAGTCGGTCTTTTCTGGCCCCAAAGCGCTCTTATTTTGTCTAAAAAGTGACTCGTAGACTGGTGACGAGTTACCAGGTGATGACATAGAAAACTGTGAAATTTCTCAGTTGACACTGAAATATTTTGTCTCGTGTAATTTTGCATTAGTCAGCTTTGGAATACTCTTGATATAGTGTCAATTATGGGCGAGAGCGCACTGAAATCGCACTCAAAAAGCGAGAAGCACAAGCAAAACAGTCGATGTGAACAGCTAGTGACACTGTCATCTTTTGGGTTTGGTTCAAGTGCTGGTACTTCGACATGTTCTAGTAGAAATAAGGAAGCGTGTGTGGTAGCTGGTACATCGACATGTGCTAGTGGAAATATGGAAGCGCGCGTGGAAGGGTCACAACAGCAAGCTGGCAGATTAAACATCCCTCCACCCCCTGATGAGATTGCGACTCCCGCGTCACAGCAATCCATGAGGGGCTTTTCAACCAAGGACGACGTACTTAAGGTGGCTCACAATAGTTTTTAGGTTTTCTAGAACTTTTACATTTGAGGGATTCAATGAAACAAAATAATAATTTTTCTTACAATTTTTTGGTAAGAGTTACTAGTTCGATTATCAGTGAACCAAAACATAATGACGTGGCGTCATTAGCTGTTACCATAGCAACAGCATATGGTTGTAAATAAGAGCCATCACGGAGCTTCTAACGCTAATAGCGCAAAAATTAACTCGGTGACCCCTATTTTTCTTAATTTTATCCAATTTTACAAATGGCTCCATGGTGGATACATCCACCAATTCGAAGAGTCCGTCTCCGTCAATGAATGGATCTAACAAGCAGCTTGTCTTCTTCAAACCTTCGTTTCTGTGACATGCAGCGTTTCTGTCTTGGAACTTATCTGAATTGCCATTGAGATTCTTTGAAGATTGTATTGCGAAACCAAAATGGTGATGTTGGAGGTCGCTCAAGATGACTTTCTCTGCTTGGACTAGTTCTTGGACTTTGAGAGGTGATATCTCGGTACTTTGGTCACTTTTCGAGCTCTGAGTGCCGATCTAGCACTTTGGAGGTTGACAATAGCTCTCCTCATCCAGCGACTGAGGTTTTCGCTTTGTACCACGATAAAGTACAATGAATGTAAACCAGAAGCCCAGTGGGTTTTAGAGGTTGTAGGCACGCTGTGTTAAGGACCTTGGCTCTAACCTCGACATCATTCATTGGTAGTTGGGTTGACTTCACTGAGTGCAGAAGTGGTACGTTATCTTCCCAGAGGAATTCCGGTCCACGAAACCATCTTTTGTTGTCAAGTAACTGGCTGGCAGTGAGAGAAAGAGATGCCTTGTCTGCAGGGTTGTCTTTTTCCAGGAACGTGGTGCCATTGTTCTGGGCTAGTATGATCGCAGATGCGTTGCACTCTATTGCTGACGTAAACGAGAATCCGACGCACATCGTTACGGATGTAAGCAATCACCACTTCAGAATCAGTGGAGTAGACCAACTGTAAGCTTGTTTATAGTTCACGTTCCAGCATTGCGATTACATTAACCAACACAACAGGAATCAACATTGGTTTGATAGGAGCTACTCGAGCTTTAGACATCAGGAAGCTAACGTGGACATCTTTGTTTTCGTTGACCACTCGTAGGTACGAGACCTGACCAATTCTTGACTGGCTAGCATCCGAGAAAGTATGGACTTCCGATTGCACCACCTTTTAAAAACTGGGTGGTTTGAAACAATGTTGGATCTTGACATCCTCTAACAATGGTAGCTCGTTACGCCATCTTTACTAACGAGGGAGGATCTCCTCTGGAATTGAGTCATGCCAATCTACTTTCTGGCGGCATAGATCTTGCAAAATCAGTTTCCCACCTAAGATCACTGGTGAGATAATCCCGAGGGGGTCATACACCGAACTTATCGTCAAAAGGATTCCGCAGCGTAACAGCGGGTTATCCCTTCTATACGAAAGCCTAACGTGTCTGATTCTATACACCAAAAGGTGCCTAGAGACCTTTGAATGGGTAATGTGTCATGACGGAGGTCGAGGTCTTTGAGGTCCTTTGCTCGGTCCTCCTTGGGAAGTGTCAGCAAGACATCCTTACGACTACTAGTGAACTTGTGAAGTCGTAGCTTTGCAGACGTACAGAGGGCTTCACTATCCTCAATCAACTTGATAGGCTCTGGAACAGAAGGAACAGAAGTGAGACTGTCATCGACATAAAAGTTCCTACAGGGAAAATCTGCAACCTTGTCACCAAACTGAGCATGAGCAACTTCTGCTGTCTCGTGAAGGCAATAGTTGGCTACTGCTAGGGATGAAATAGCTCTGAAAAGGTGGACATTCATATGGAACTCGGCGATGGGGCCATTTAAAAATGAATAAAGGCTGATAGTTTCGAAAGAAACTGTTTGGGGCTGCGTCGGTGGGAGTAACGAAATAATTTGGATATATCAACAAAGTTGAAATGGCACATTGGCCACCGTAACGATTACAAAAGCTGACGTTTCGAGCGTTAGCCCTTCGTCGGAGCGAAAGGATGGGGATGGGGCCATTTAGGTCATTGTTCTCAAACCACAAAAAGCGGAGAAAGTCTCTGCTGGTTGGATTCACATAGAAACTATGTTCTACGTCACAGGTAAGTGCAACGTCGTCTTTACGGAAAAACTAGATTTTTAGCTTGGGCATTTTATTTTAAGGAGACCAAACTGATCTTCAGAACATAACAAACAGTTAAAATCATCTCGCGTTCTGGATCGACGATATTTTGATCCAACTTCTGCTTACATATTCCTCCACCCTGAAATGAAAGAATCAGAATCTCAATTCTTGAAAAGTACTCGACTTCTTTAGTAGGTCATGAAAAGTCCTTGAAATTTAGCAACTTCTATACGCCTTATCGCTTTTCTGATAAATTAAACGATTTTGCTGTGGAAAATTTGTCCACCAGTAACTACCGAAAAGTGAAAATGGTCGGTATAAAAGGTGAGTGGTACATGAAGCAAAGTTGGATGTGTGCCTCAATTTCATGCGCAAGGCCTCCGATGTGGGGTAGTCCGCCATGTGCTTTTGTTTTAAGGGGCAACGTAAGCATGTAGTGGTTTGGCTATGTTCTGGTCGATGAATTTTTTATTTTCCTTTGTTTTCAATTTAATTGAGCGATGGGCAAATGTGTATTCAATCGTAAATGGTTTAGATTTATGAATAAAACAGTCCTTGAAAACCATTTTTTATCCTTGAAAAGTCCTTGAATTTGTTTGTCTGAAGTTGTACGAACCATGGATATAATCTCCTCGATGTCGACGATCATAACGCATCCATTTTGGCTATACAGCTACATCCTTATAAAAGTAATGTATCGAAATACCTGGTATATGTGTACTGTTCTTGTAGCTCCAGCCACGCAAAACGTTCGTCCCCTTTTCTTGATTTCTCCTTTCTTCATCATAATTGCCGACGTGTCTTCACAGTTTTCTACGTCAGGGCTATTTAACATGATCGTTTAGACCGCGCGCTTATATGTGGACACTTTTTGGTCGCTAGCGTACTTTCAGTGCGCAAGAAAATTGTCAAAAACTCTCTACGTGTTAAATTTTGAAAGCAGCTGCCAACCAGAAAACGTAAAAAAAAAATCGTGTCATGGGCACTGTAATTGAGGGCATTGAAGGAAAAATACCACCACAACGTAAATTCCAAGGTAGTGAGTTGAAATTGATTCAGGTTGTGAGTTTGTAAGTGAGAATGTTTGCTTGATTTGGAATATTTTGATTGTGGAAGGAGTGAATTGAAATAGTTCGAGAAAGCATTTTGTGTGAGGAAGTACAATATCTATTGTTGGGGAGGTACTTTTCTTGAAGCATGAGTGTGAAGATAATGTGTAGTAAAGGAGGGTTGTCCAATACACACAAACACACACAAACAGAATACACACACAAACATCCTTTGTTTGTACACACAAACAGATTCCGATGGTGAAAAGTGCTTTTCCGAAGGAATTGGAAAAATTCCTAAGCTCTTCCCAATCTAGACATGTACTACAGTGCCTGGTTTGCTTAAAACAAATAAATTAATCTTTCTCTTATTGAATAGTTATTTTGCAGTGCAAGAGTGTGGAAAATCCTATTTGGTCACCGAAGGAAGAATCCATTCTTCTGTGGAGCTCTCTACTTGGTGCGATTGAATGTAAGTGTAGCTGAAACATTGTTTATTCTATGTTGTAAATATAACAAAGAATTGGTTCGTGCTTAGTGTGCGTATATCGAGTTAAGGATGCACGTGGGAAGTTTGGAGAACACGAAGGAAGCTTCTTGAGTCAATGCAAAGTGAAAAAGTTGGCTGGATTTCGTTAGTTTCTTTCGTGTACTGCATTCTATTTCCTTAAATTTAGCAATAGGTGCTCAAACAAGTCGGGAAATTTGGAGGGGAAGTGAAACTACACGCGCCATGGTATGGATGCACGTCCGTGCGTACCATGGTAGGTCCTTAGGAAACAGGTAGGACTTGCGCCAACGGTATGCTGCAATATGAATTTAATCATTACTCCTGACATTTGTCACAAGTTTCATTAGTCCCTGTAGAAACATTCTTAATGACTAATATTATTTCTTGGAAACCAGTGGTATAAACAATTCAAAGGTTCATGTTTCAGCTCTAATTATCAAATCTAAGCGCGAGCATGTGACATGAATCAAGGGTACAAACTTCAACAATGTAACATCTCCTCTTGTCGTGTCTATTGTGTTATTCGCTCATAACTTCCTTTGGAAAGGATTACAGCATGGAAAAGATCGAAATCTGTTCACCTCGGCGAAAAGACAAAGATTTTCAGGCGCTTGGACGAAGTGCTCGTGGATTTTCGTCTCGTAAACGACATTTTGGCGCTGAGTCGTCGCTTGTGGGATGAATGGGCGCGGTATCGTTTTGTTGACCGAGGACACGGCTATTTTCCTATCTTATTTGAAGAAAAGGCATAAAAACAGTTTCAATAAAACGACTCTTTTTCACTGATCCTTCAATTTCCCTACTCACACCAGTTCCACGAGCGGGCTGAAATGTGATTTGTTAGATTTGAAGAAAGATTAATAATCTTGCGTGTCTGGTTTTATTGCTAATAAAACATTAAAAAAATACCGTAACTCAAAACTCATTGCAGCTGTCATTGGAGTGCAAAACATGAGATATAGCATCCAGTCTTATCATAATGATAACGTATGATGATAGATGGACCGTGTTTTAGTAAAATCACCTTGTAGTCTTACAACTGGATTGCGTGAAGTAAGAACTAAAACAAAGTTAAGACATGAGAAACTTTATCTTGTGTGTCTTCGGAACTAGTGTTCAAATGTTCAGAAAGGTTCAAAGATGTCTTTTAGGTTGAAAGAGGCTTTAATATGTCTCATGGGCCTTGACCAGAACCAAGAAGATGGGAGTGCCTTTAAAGAAGTCGAAGCTCTGGGCTGAAGTCGTTGCTGGCTAGCCCGACGAGATATCACACGTTGCGTCTTGTGACTCAGCAACATCCACTTCGGAATCCTGAACGTCAATACCACTTTGTTTCGCTTCGTTTTTACGTTTTGCTTTGAACTTTTCCGAAAGAAGACTAAAATGCTCCCTCGTTGAGCGCTTTGTCACTCGAAAGTGAATCAGCCTATTTTCATTTAGCCTATTTGTAACTTCTTGCCACACTTTTCCCCGCTCCACACTCCTGGGCTTAAAGCGGAAGGGTTCGCTGAGAAGTAGTTCTCTTGCAAGTTGGATATCATGTTCTTCGGTCCACTCCATATTTCCTCAAAAGAGTACAAAATAATACCATTAACAAGTTGTGCACAAGACGTAAACAAAATTTCAAAAGGGGCTTATTAAGTCGAAGAAATTTCAACCAGGGAACACGTTTTTAGAGGGTTTATAACCAAATGGACAAAACATTTCGTGAATGGAGAAAAAGGTAAACGCCGACATTTGGATGATGAAGAATACTTGAATTTAATTATTTATCGTTGGGAATTCTCACCTTACAGTTGAAGGCCCAGCACTTGTGGCATAGCTTGACTTGTCTTCCGTTGTCGTGAAATACTGTTTGAATGAGTTGTAAAAAGTTTATCATTTGAAGTAAACTAAACATCAATTCAGAAACAGATTAAAGTGGTTTTCTGTCAAAATAAAGCAATTTTGAAGGCTAAAACTTGAAATCAAAACGCACGTTCTCGAGACACCGCCAAACTCGACTTTCCCGCCGTCTTTACGTGCAGTCGACGTATGCTGGACGGCTGGCACATATGTATATTAGCTCCCAATCAGTCATCTTTTACTTCCGGTTGCCGTCCTCTATGTCGCCGTTAATGTTCTGTCGTCAACATCCTTTTCGTACGGTGGCCAACAAGGGTCACAGCAAAATCGAATCTCACGGCAGAACAGAGAAACTCACGGCAGGATAAAGCGAACTCACGGCAAAACAAACGAAACTCACGGCACAACAAACAAATCTCACGGCAGAACAAAAGAAACTCACGGTAAATCAAACAAGTCTCACGGCAAAACAAAACAATCTCACGGCAAAGCAAAACAATCTCACGGCAAAACAAAACAATCTCACGGCAAAACAAAAGAAACTCACGGCAGAACAAAAGAAACTCGCGGCACAACAAACAAATCTCACGGTAAAATAAAGAGAAAAGCCACGGCGGAAGTTTGAATTTCGACGGAAGTGACGTACGTACCCTGGGATGGAAACAGCTGAACAAAGGTATCGCGGGCGCGTGAGTCCCTTACAAAATGGCGGATGATGAAGGAGAAATTGTGCGATACTTATTTCATCGTGGATATGAATACGAAGAAATCATCGAAATGGTCTCTAAGCGTTATGATATACACATGAGCTTGGGTACGTTGAAAAGACGTTTAACGAAGTGGAATCCTTCAAGAAAAAATGTCCAATACAATATAAATACCGTAGAATCTGCTATAAGAGAACTTTTAAATGGGTCAAATTCGTTAGTTGGATATCTTTCAATTTGGCATACCATTAGACTTAAAGGTATAGCAGTTCCACGCATAGTTGTTCAAGAGCTCATGAAAGAAATTGATCCTGAAGGAGTTAAGCATCGCAAGAGGCATAAGCTCAGAAGAAGAGAGTATTATTGTCCAGGGCCAAATGGCTTATGGAACGCAGGTGGATATGATAAATTAAGCCTTACGGCTTCCCTATCTACGGTTGCGTTGATGGCTTTAGCCGAAAAGTATTATGGGTGTACATAGATCCAATAACTACCCAGATAACATTGCTGCCTATTATCTAAATACTGTAGAGGAATTTGGTGGATATCCTCAAGAATTAGACAGTGATCTGGGAACTGAAAATGGTACAATGGCGGGAATACATTCTTTTTTTTTTTTTACAAACAATCCTAACTCCCATAGTTTAGGCAGGTCAGGCCTCAGGCAATTCCACAGTCTAGCTCCGAAAATGGAAAACGAATTAAGTTGAATTCTCAGTCTTGATTTATTAACATATAAATTACCAGCATCAGAAAATCTAGTGTTGTATGTATGAACGTCAGATGAACGAGTAAAAAGATCACAGATATTCTGAGGGGCAGAATTGGTATATATGTCGTGCATTAAAGAACATACTGTTTCAAAATGAAGCATATTGAGGGGTAACACATTAGCAGAGACAAACAAGGGAACAGCATGAGATCTGTTTCCCGCAAAGAACATTAGCCGAAGAGCTCGTTTTTGTAAAATAGAGACCTCCCTCAGATAGACCTGTGCAGCTTGGCCCCAGGCAGCAATTCCGTAGTATGTATATGGGAAAATCAGAGAATGGTAAATTTGGATTAAAGTATTCAGAGGAACAGAGTGCCTAAGGTGGCTCAATAGGGTTATGCAAGATCGCGAAGCGCGCGTATGACATCAATCGAAAGTTAATATTCTCGTTTTTGCTATTTTCAAATCAAAGCTACTGAAACATAACAAACAAGGGCCAAAATTTGCTGCACAACAGTCACCTCTGAAGTCAAGGCTTTTAGTCCCAAATTAAAACTACTCAAATATCGCCATTTTTTGACGTCTGCTTGGCTTTTATTTCAATTTTTTTCAATTTCCTTTGGTAAAATTTTCCGATATTCTCCGACCGGGTAGTCTGACAAGAAGAAACTTGTAAAGTCGAAAAAAGTAGCGGTTGTCAAGGTAGTTGTTTCGTTTTTAGCATTTTTTTTTTTTCGGCTGAGCGAAAAACTTGTCTTAAATATTTTTCTGATAAATTGACAGCAAGGAACGCTAAAAAGGTATAACATCTCTGCCAAATTTTCAGGAATATTAACGAAGGAAATACGAGAAATCTGAGGGGGAACTTTCTATTTTCTCACCTCAATGGCAATTACGTCATCCGGATAGGAACTCGCCAAGATCGCTATTTGAGCATGCGCGAACTTTCGAACTACGCTATTTTGTTGAGAACGAATGCGTGAACACGGGCAGTCACTTATCTTTCACTTTTTTGTACAAAATGCTTTTGACCTGAAAGTCAGTTGAGAACATACCTTAATTTACTATGCCGCAGAATCCTTGGAAATCTCTTCGAAGTGTTTCAAAATTGCGGAGAGTATTCTCGTGTTTGTGACCCTTGGAAGCGATGAGCGACTCGACAATGGCGGTCTCGTCAAAATACACACAAGACCTTTCCGTCCAAATCGTTGGTGCAAATTATTTAAATTCTCATATCTTAGGCCACTGCCAGCAATTTTTTCGGCGATGCTTTGTTTTATTGGGTTATCCGCATGACCTGGGTAGTACAGCTTTCCTCGAAAAGACAGGAGTCCCTGATGACGGTTGTCAAGATGTTTCAGGTCTTCGGCGGCGTCCTTGACAGAGATAAGTGACCTTACGATACGACAACGGCGACGGCGACTTTTAAGGGACTGGGTCGAGTGCGTCGGTTGCCGTTGGCGTTCCCGCCAAAAGTTTTCATTACGTTCTAATTCGCTTCGCTCAACCGAACGTAAAATATTTTACCCTTCAAGTCCCGTAATAATTGTTTTATTGGGTTATCCGCATGACCTAGGTAGTACAGCTTTCCTCGAAAAGACAGGAGTCCCTGATGACGGTTGTCAAGATGTTTCAGGTCTTCGGCGGCGTCCTTGACAGAGATTTGTGACCTTACGATACGACAACGGCGACGGCGACGTTAAGGGACTGGGTCGAGTGCGTCGGTTGCCGTCGGTGTTCCCGCCAAAAGTTTTCATTACGAAAAGAACTTGAAAACTTCCAGCTTTTGTGAACCTTTGTGTTTATCTACTTATCAATTGTGTTGAGTTCTTGCTGATTATATTATGCCAAAAGTAAGAAACAGTATTCTTCTATCTTTTGCCTTTAATATGATCGATGCTACGGAATGCTTGCTTTCATATGATGTCAATTCCCCCAAAAGTCCTGGTGTTCCATACTGGAGCTACGCCGAACGATTCGATCTTGACCTAATGACAGACGACGAATGCAAGACGGAGTTTAGGTTTTACAAAAACGATATATACGAAATGAGCGAAGTTTTGAATCTTCCAGACCGAATTGTCTGCTACAACGGCCTGATCGTGGACAGAACAGAGGCATTTTGCATATTTCTGGAGAGGTTTGCCTACCCTTGTAGGTATGTGGATTTGATACCAAGATTCGCGAGACCTGAGCCTCAACTTTGCATCATCTCAAACGCTGTGATGAATTCCATTTACACTAGTTGGAGACGTTTGCTGTTGGATTTGAACCAGCCATGGTTAAGTCGCCCACATTTGCAAACATTCACAGAAGTTATCAACGAGAAGGGGGCGGCTCTCCAAAACTTTTGGGGTTTTATTGACGGAACTGTATGACCCATCTCTCGTCTAGGCAGAAACCAACGTGTAATGTACAATGGTCATAAGAAAGTACATTCAATTAAATTTCAATCTATTGCTACACCAAACGGCCCAATTGCTAACCTTTATGGCCCTGTGGAAGGAAAAAGGCACGACAGCGCAATGTTAGCGCAATCACAGGTGTTGAACCAGCTTCAACGTTTTTCGTTTAACCCTCACGGAGACACCCTATGTGTATATGGTGACCCAGCGTACCCCCTCCTACCTCAACTTCAGGGTCCATTTCGCGGTGCTTGGTTAACAAACATTCAAAAGGCTTGGAATAAGTCAATGAGTGAAGTAAGAGCTTCAGTTGAGTGGATTTGTGGCGATATCGTGAACTATTTTAAATTCTTGGACTCCAAAAAAAGTTTAAAGATATGGCTAAGTCCCGTTGGCAAAATGTATATTACATGTGCTCTAA